ACCGTTGGATTTACTCCCATTGCGATCTTAGCCGTACACTTATAGTTCCATCCAGCACGTTAAAATCAAAAGGTGCATGTTCAAAATTCGAATCAAAGGCCCAAATGTAACTGTAGCTTGTACGCACTCCAGATTCGAGTGATTTTTTTCAACTGTAACAAACCATCATCATTGCGCATTAAATGCTCACACAATGTGGGTCTCGAAAACCGCCAACCCACCCAGCTATTTTGCTTAGGGAACAAGCATTTCTTTAAATCATTGGAGCATGCCCAACGCACTTTAACTTCAACAAACAAGCTCGCCTTTTGCTACAAGAGCCTCGCCTCATTTGACAGCCTCATCACGGGCTTTGACCTCAACAAACAGGCTCTCCCTTTACTACAAGGGCCTCGCCTCATTTGACAGCCTCACATAGGTTTCAACCTCAACAGGTTAGCTCGCCCTTTACTACATGGGCTTCGCCTCATTTGATAGCCTCATAACAGGTTTCAACCTCAAAGCTCGCCCTTCACTATAAGAGCCTCGCCTCATTTGACTCTGCTTTGTCACAAGTTTCAACTCCAACTGAGAGACTTTCCGCTACCACTTCAACCTGTTGTTGTTATGACCACATCTTTTCTACTTAACTCGAAAGTCCATGCATTATATGAATAACCATACTTGAACTTCAGGGACTGTTGTTACACCTTACAAACTAGGACCTACACGTAGTCTTAATTAATCTACGAGGCAAATAGTTCAGGGGTACCATGCCTCTCATACTAACATGGGGTGACCCTCCTCAGGTCTGGGCGACCTACTTTTCCCCCAGAAAAAAACTGGATTGGGCCTATGACATGCAGACCCCGTGGGAAGAGCAGACCCAAAGCGAGGTAGTGAGAAGATCTTAAGCAGATTTTGTAGTATGTTATTGACAAGACAAGTCACTGTCGTCGCCGTCACCACCCCAATTTGTTTGGTCAAGTCTACGGACGCTAGCTAGGTTTCATTTAAGACTGCAGTTGATTGATATCTATGACAAGAGAGGTCAGTCATTAAGATGGGGCCACGAGCATTGCCATCCAACGGCCCTTATCATCCTTACCCAAGTATAAAAGTTCACACTCAGTACCATTCAAAGGTAATGCCAGTTTAAACTGTTGAAGTTATATTCTTGCCATACGTTTATCTCGTTCATCTCCCAAAGCCGACCCCCTCTTATTCATTGAGGTTCACATTTTAAACTCTCCCACACCCATAATTATTTCATGAATTTACTTGAACGTCGTAGTGCACGCGGCTAACTCCACCCCTTTCGAAGGAGGCCACTTGTGCCTAACGGTATATCCAAGTGTTCTGGAATCCAGCAGCTTGCATGAACGTGAGAGGTCCTGGGATCTGTTGGCCAGCTCATTGGTACATTTTTGGGATCAACAAATTGATTAAATGAAGCATGAATTAAGATATGTACAAATGAAAAGAAAAGAACAAGCAGCACCGCCTCATTATGATCCATATGTAAATAGAAATGTATCCAAATCAATTTTGATACACGTGACAAATGATTATGTTTATAAAAATTAATACCTTCTAACTAATTCACTTATACAATGATAATAATAATTATGGCTACAATGATATAATTGTTATTCACTAATAAATATATTATTTACAATATTTAACATAATATTATTTTTTTGAGAAATATATTTCTATAATATATTTTTTAAAATAGTACATATCCAACTAAGATTTTTATTTATTTAATAATTTAATTTTTGGATCAATCCCGATTTAACCTCATTTCGACCATTTGACCATTGTCCATTTTTCTTTTTCGGGTCAATACTCTACCTGATTTTCAAAACGCTAATTGTAATTCGACTTTAGAATAATGTTCTACTCAACTCCCTACATACCTTTCTAAATTCAATCTATGAATTTTGATTTATTTTTTAATTATTTATTTATCATTTTGTTAATTAAATTTATTGTGTAAATATACACGACTCGTGTTATCCAACTTATAAGGCGTGTCAAATTCATTTATTTTACTTCCAGAGAAAACTACTTAAGTATTATTAAATTGGTTAAGAATGAAACCAATACCTCCAATCTTGGCGTTCATACCACTACACAATTGTAAGTTGTAACTCTAACCTCACAATCACAAACAGGAGCGAAGACTATATTTTCACCTCTTGTGGATTCGGCTCTCTAGTATGTGAATTCTTATTTTGTTATAAATTATATAAACAATTTCTTAGCTATGAATTAAATTGGAATTAAAAAATCAACAGTTTGGTTTACAAATAACATATTGTTTCACTAAACAAGAAACTCATTCTTACAAAAAAATATATATTGTTTCTCGATACATATTATCTTTATAAATTACGTGACATACATGTGGTGGAAGGAATCTCACATTGACCGACTCGACATCGAATTGATTATATTAATTGGATTGAATCGGGTAACTTCATTAGCATCACTTGGCCTATTTCTCTTTCTCTAAATATAAATAAGCAATCATGCTACAAGTACAAAAAAATTTGATTCAAAACTTTTACGGACAACAAATGATACATTGGAGGATGGAAAAAAAAATAAAAAGACAAATGAATCAAATGTTGCCATGACTGCATCTGTATCAATTCTTTCAAAAATTCCCCGTACTTGGGGCTTTTTCCATATCCAAGTTCATTCCACAGTTAATATAAGTATTTTAATCACTAGCCAAATTTCTTCCCCCTTCTCTCTTGTACTTGGGCCTTTTCCATATATAAGTTCATTCCACACTAAATATAAGCATTTTATTCACTAGCCAAATTTATTCTCCCTTTTCTCTTGCACTCATTTCTTTCCTTTCGGCTTCCCCCTTCACTCTTGTACTCATTTCTTTCCTTTCGGCAGTTGACTTGACCGTCGTAGTGCAAACCATCGTTAGACCTTTTTATCATAGGTGACATTTGATTAAGACTTGATGTTCCATTTTAAAAAGGTCAATAAATAAATTTCCTCATCGAGTTTGGGTTATATATTGTTATATATTCCAATATCGAGGGATAAATTTCATTTGGATTGAATATTGAAATATAGATTAACATATAAGAGTTCGAACTACTCCTCTTTAAAATATCAACTTATTAAGAGGAGCGGTTCAAGCCCTTATATGCTCTATATTTCGATAATTAATTGATGTGGGATTTATTCCTTAAGATTTTCTTACGAGATAGTGGGTCATTTGAACAAAAAATCTTAAAATTCGCTTGCTCATTGGAGGTTAATATATTCTGATATCATATTAAGATTTGGAGTTCTATCTTGAAAGATCAATCTTATTAAGAAAAGTAACCAAAACCTTTATGTGTGGATCTATATTTCAATATTTAATCAATGTGAGATTTATCACTAAATAGCTTGCACCCTAACGATGTGATCCAGCATACAAGTAATGCTTGAGTGGGTGGGAGGTGAATAGGACATTCCTGGCAAGTTGGTCTCTACTCAAAATGAACAACAATACTACATGTATATTGTGGTTGACATCAACATTTACATGATTACATCTATTCCATTGATTTTGACCACAATCACCATCTACATAGGAAGAATATCAAGAAA